CACCACAAAACAGACCAAACCCTATACCAACCAGCTCTACACCCCATAAATCCCCATACCTGAACCACAACACCCCAACACACACCTCAATTCGAATCACACTATCCCACAACCCACCTCTAACAAACACGACATACCATAACCACTTTTAATTAATTTTTAATGACTCTGATAGCATCTCAAGGTTTAAAAAGAAAACAAAATTCTTGCGATGTCATCAAAGAAGAATATATAAATACTTCTGGTTAAAGTGTCCTTACAAAAATGTTTCTGCTGCTCTTTTAAATTTTTTTTTGTTTCAACGTGGAAATAACACTCACAGATGGATGGTGAAATAGAGTGAGAGAATGCCCCACAGAAGGGAGAAGAAAAAAAATTTGGCTAGAAAAACGAAAACAAAGGAAGAGTATACAAAAGAAATTTCAGTTAATCAAAAGAGGAAGGTATAACAAAGAAAGAGAACGATGATTTAAAGATTATGCGCTCAAAAAAGCAACGAAGACTAGAATTTGACATACTCAGAGCTTTAAATTATCGATATATTTGCGTTAGAGACAAAGGGGTTGCCAGGCAGGTTGATGAAAATGTTTAAAGGCGATCGTTTCAATCCTGCTAATGAATACAAATACAGCAATAATTGAAAGAGGCACACAAAGAGAACATTAGTTATTGATTGAGGGGGTTGAAGAGACAGACGTTGCTCAAATGTGAAAAAAAAAACGCCACTTCAGAGCGTTGCTTCGCAGTAATTGTTCAGCCGGATACATTTCGGTTGTTTAAACATATAAAGAATGGTTGTTTTTTAAAACGTTCAAAGTAAACAAACAAAATTATACCTCACACTCACACACATTTATACTCATACTCACGCACACTCATACGCATATCGTCACACTCATACACTTTCACTATCATACACACACTTATATACACAAACTCTAACTGTAAATTACACATACACACTCTCACCTAGACACATATCTCTCACTCACAATCAAGTACCATTTAAACACATCCACACTCATATGCACAGACTCAAACACACAAATACAAGCACTCACATTCGCTTACACACATACACACACATTCTTTCTAACAAACATTCATACAGAAACTCATACACTGCTACACACACTCATAAACACAAACACCATCTATACACATTTTAAACATTTTTTCCCATGCGTTTCAATTTGATTTTCAAATATAGTTTTTAAGCTGAGTATATTATGCTACTACATTGAGAAAAATAATTATCCTATACAAAATGTTTAATAACAAATCATGCATTTGCCTCTGCTTTGTAAATAACATCATCCTAAATAATGCAGATATTTCGCAGTGTGAGAATGTGTTCATGATAAATTTCGCCCTGAGATTTGTGTGCTCAGAGATCAACTTTTCTTTTTTCCGTAAGGTCATTTGTCCTGTATTTTGTTTTTGAGATATTTTGTCTATGGCAAATTTCTTTTATCACCGTATGTGCTACTAGTTCTACTGCTAATAATACCCACAGTCCTTCTTGTATCGTATGTGCTACTAGTTTTCCTGCTAAAAATGCACACACACACACACACACACACACACACACACACACACACACACACACACACACACACACACACACACCATGTAAATGCTGCCTGGTGGTGTACAAGGTCTGAAGTTTAAAATTTTCAAAGAATCATCGGGGAATCAAAATATTGGGCGCATTTAAATTTTCACAGACTGACCTTACCTAAACCGATTGTCTCTTACCAAGCGATATGTGGTAAACTGCTAGATAAAAAATACATAGTATATGCACCAGTTTCGCATTTAAATTCGGTCATATTAACTAGAAAAATAAATTTGCTAGATCAAGATAAGTTTTATTATTATCAAGGTCTATAACTGTGATAACATTTATGTTTCAGGAAGGCAACAGCTTGTATGAGTTGTCTTCCATTTAATAAAACAATGCCAAAACTCATAAAAACATGAAATTTACAAAATGAAATTCTCTTTTTAATTAATATGTTCTAGAAATAAATTTGTTTTACAAAACTGTCAGTAAAGTCTTTGCACAAACCCGTACCTAATTTATTGGATAACTGGAATAGCATTTCAATATTTTTCTGTTTTCGTTAAATAGATTGTGATAAAAATTTGTAAACAGATGCAAAGACAATTTCACGTAACTCAGGATTAAAACACAGCTTATTTATTAATTGTAGATTCAAAATTGCTAAACGTGATGTAACATTATTTAATTAACACATGGTTTATATTATATGCTACAGGTAACCTGAGCGGTAATACCACATTTCTAAGTATTTTAGTTCCTTTTTGTTTCGTTGCAATAAAAAAAAGCATTTATCATTGACTGTCAAAATCAAACAACACACAGATTTAAAAAAGTGAAGTGGGTATATATTGTGTTTACGTAGACAATCACTGGTAAATTCAAGTTGGCTTTGTGTGTTAAATTGTAAAATATCTATATATAAGTATCAAAAGTTAAGATTCATTAGTTATTTGTGCAAAGAGATTATGATTTTTTAAATGTTAATTAAATTAATGACTTAATGTGATTGTATCGATAATGCAGCAAAGACAAACATGAATGATTTACATGACAATCCTACTTTGGATCACTACTACTCAGATCTCATTCGATGTTGTTTAACAATTTTCTAATAATAACAAAATCATTTTGTTAGATACTAAACTTCTCACAGTTAAACCCACGATTCATCGAAAAATGATTACAAATTTGTGAGGTATAATAATTTGAATCGTTGAATGCATAAGAGTAAACAGTCCAAATATAGTTGGAATTCAACAATTAAAAATAGGTACTTATAAGTACGTTTGGTATGTGCTCTCTTGACGGGTTACCGAAATCAGCGCTGCATCTGCAATATCTATGCATGCATATGCACATTTTTGAATGCATTAATATGTAGCTTTATGTATTCATAACAGCAACAACAATACAACTAATAATAACAATTAAAAAAAATAGTAACAATAAAAAAATTATAATAATAATATTATTATTATTGTTATTATTATTATTATTATTGTTGTTGTTATTATTATTATTTAAATTGTTTCATTTATAAGATTGCCGAATGTAACTCCACTGGAAATGTTGACATTTTTGTTTGTGCTAGTCGAAGTGGAGAGTTTAACATATTTGATGTTCTGCCGTAGCCCGTAAAAATGTTCAACTTGGTCCCGTGTCATCAACTAGACTTTTCACGCTGTAGTCACTACAAACACTGCACAGCCCAGAAGTTTTATTGTAGCTGAAGGCCACACAATTTCCTTCATTGTGGCACATTCTGGTTAAATCAAGTTCAGATGTTTTGAAGATAGAAGTTGACATACTATCGTTACAGCCTGTGTAATTGACTTGTAGAGGGTAACACTGGAAAGCTGTCGATGGTTTAGCGGTGTAACTTTTTCTGCGGCAGCTTCAGATTTGGGCAGAACACAACTAGCCACAACATATAACACATGATGAACTGCATTGCAAACTGTCTTTGAAGTTATTTACTTTTTAATTAGCAGCCTAAATAGCTTATGGTATTAATAATATTGATGGCTAATCAGTATACATATATTTAGTAGGTTATCTTTTCGTTAGAATTTACACATGTAGCATGTATATAAAGAAATTTCTGGGATACTTTGTTCACATCTCGTCCTTTAAGTTCACAATTTACCTCTTCTACATCAATTGTAACGTTACGTTATTTCACAGTTGTTCTAAGATAAAATATGTTACATTTCACTAAAATTATACCTTGATATGTTCAAACGTAATTGTGTATGCTACAACTAAAATCCTGCACCTTAACAATAATCTTAAACACCTTAGTTAAAGAAGAACGAATTAAGAGAAGATTACACAAAAGACAACACAAAATGCTGGAGCTAAGTTAGATTTCGTATTGTCCCTACATTTTCAGCGGAACAGAACCTTATATCTCTTTTTTACTTAAATATAAAATCAACGCTATTGCATTCTTTAAAAAAACAAAAGAACAAAAATTTGTGTATAATTATAGCGTTACTAACATTACAAGATGGCGTATCTTCAACTAAAAATTCACTAGATTTTTGTCCACTTAGTGAATCATTCATGACATTGTGTTATGTATTAGAGCAATCGTCTCAATTAATAAAAGAAAACAAAAAAAAACAACAACAAAAAAAACAAAAGCAATAATAAAATAGCCCTAGCCCAAGATCGATACAGCAACATGTCTCTTATAATATATACGATATTGATTGTGTTTTTCGTCACTTTAGCTTTTACTATAAACAGATAAAATAATAAAAATAAAAATAAATTCTCAGTCCTTATCGCTGATACAAAATACTTGTTGAAAATCCTATCAATAATGTCAAATAGAGTTATTTGATAAACCGAAATATAAAAGAAAACGCATTCAAAGTAACAAAGGCTAAGCAAAGAAACAATTAAACCAATGGAGCCTCAATATCGTTAACTGTTATAAAGCTCTAGTTCTTTCATCACCTGTTCAGTAATGGTCTTTTTGATACGTTTCGATAGGATTAATTTTTTAACTTGATGTCTAATAAAATACATACATCAATCTGAAAACAAATTAAGCATTATTGTCTATGTACATTAATTGATGCAATTTTGTTTAGAAAGACATTTTAATCAAAGATTTTAAAATGATACGTACATTCATAAAGTGACGACATTTAACAAAATAGCGGAAGCAAAAGTAAAGTGTTTTAACGTTCTGAGCTTTCTAATGTTATAGTTTTAAGAATACATGATTGTGTTTGTTACGAAAATATATCTTTCACAATACAAAAATATAATATTTTCTTTCTAAATTTCAAAATGTAAATTTTTTAACAAAATGTTTTAAAATATGTAAATTCAATCGAAATTACTTTTCAACCTTGATACTCTTAGCTGTTTTATTTTCTAATCGAGACCATCAAACCTATAAAAGAAACTAAACACTGACTTGCAATAACTTAATGCTACCAGTCACTCTTATCAACCGTGCATCAGTTGGGGGTATCACATATTGATAGCTGTGCAGGAAGTTCCCATCCACAAAAATGGCGTAGTTGTCGACTAATGCCAGAATGTGCACGACAAATTTTTCCCCATGTTTGAACGGAAAGACCTCGGGAGTAGGCTTAAGATAAACACCTTCTCCCCATAGGCCGTCCATAAAGTGGTTAATGGCTATAAGATAATCTCTGGGTCTAAAATGTAGGATCTGGATATCGATGTCTTGATGGACTTCAAAAATAAATCCACTGGAATTGGCGTACACACCACGAAGCACAATCTGTAACAAAAAAAAAACATGATGTGTAACAGACTGTATTCTTGGGTATGATTTATTATATTGTATTTAACATGAAATTGTTTGAATGTAGAGTACCTGGCCAACGGAAGGACTGTGTGAGCGACTAGTCATGTTTTTCCATGCTTTTTTTGAGATCGCTCACTGACGTTAGGGGAGAGAATGTAAGGTATAAAAGGGGAGCTCAAGGTGGACTAAGTGTGCCTGTATAGAAGAATGTTGTAAGCCGTCACCACGTCACTCTGTCTCTGGATTATAATTTAATTTCTGTTATTGTCGTTATTAATTCCTATGGATTTATTTTATCAATGTGAATATATTTTGTAAGTTGGAAGAACTGTCGTTCGTATTCATTGAAGAACTCACAATAACACCGTATTGTCTCATCTACAAATACGCGTTCTTAGAGTGTGTACAGTAAACAGATGATCTGTTCATGAAAATAATTGCTTTTCTTGTATTTTGTGGTAGCTTCAGGTATGGTAAGTTGCAAACATTTTGCACTGGTTTACAGCAGAGGCGTAGCGAGGGGGGGGGGGGCGGGTGGGGGGGGACATATGTCCCCGGGCGCTGACCTTAGGGGGGGCGCCAAATTGAAAGTTTGAGGGGGGGTGCAATTGAAAAGTTCGTGGGGGGGGGGGTGCAAATCGAAAGTTTGCTCCCGAGGGGGGCGCCAAATTGAAAGTATGTCCCCGGGCGCCGGGAAGGGTCGCTACGCCTCTGGTTTACAGTTTGCAATCCACTTATATTTATGAACTAGATAAATGGCCCGTTGAGGGAGAAAAACAACGTGCGCTAGGTTGATAGTGTTCTTTTTCTCGAAACCGAAGCCAAAACCAAAATCATCAATTCAAGTTCAAATTTAACCGGAAACGAAAATTGTCATTGAAAACGGATTTTTATCCAGAATCGGCATTTAACCTAATATAACCTTGATCTACACGTATTAAAGTTACTGCACATTCATACTAAATAAAGTCGAAGTCATACTCCTAAACCTTGCAACTAAGCTCAAACTTGACAAAAGTCGTATTCTCCCCCCCCCCCCCCCCCCCGAAGAACGTCAACCGCCCCTATAACGAAATAAAATTTTCCCTCCTCTCTGGAAAATTTTGTCCCCTGCCTAAAAAAAATTCAAGTTGCCCCCCCCGGGGGGGGGGGGGGGGGAGAGAAATGTCTAAAATTAACACTGGTCGTATTTGTAGATAATACAGACTAAAGACAGATGTTACTTCAATAAACTAGACCTGTTTCCTGCGTTTGGCGGCTAAAACTCAATAATACAGAGAGTGCTACTTTCAGACTTTTTTTTCTCTCCATGGTGAGAGAGGGGTCACTCTAATTTTTTTTGGGGGGGGGGGGGGGGAAGGAGGAATTAAATTCTCCGGGGAGGTGGCTGACACTGGTTAAAGTATATACTTTCTATATAAATTGTATTTCGTTTGGGGGGGGGGGGGGGAGATGAATGAAAGAAACTGCATGGAGACCACTTTTAACCTTAGACAAATAAATTAAGTGGTAATGTTAGTGTCTTTATTATCGAGTATAGATTACGTCAATATTATTGTGTACTTTTTCTGCAATTTCTTTTTAGTTCTATGTTTACTATAAAACCAATGACCTCATTTTATTGTGTTTACTTATCCAGCTTTAGAACTGCATAATTTCGTTTCGTTTTGAATACTTTCAATATGGTCCATGTGCCGACACGGTCTTTAACTATGCATCTTTTAAATTTCCTTGTGTTTGCTCTAGAGACAGACAGAAATAAAGACATAAAAGCTTGACTATTATTATAGACGAAAAATGTAGGCCTACAAATAAATGTACTTTAGAACAATTAGAGAATAACAATCAATTTGAGATTTATTTCTGACGTATTTATTTCTGTAGTATGGTACCAAAACAATCCTACAGAAAAATCACGTCATCGAACAAAATAGTCGACAACATTCTACTGAATCGTATCTCGTTTTCCAAAGACATCAGAATAAAAGAAAAACTAAAAACGTTTGTTATAATAGATTTTTAAATGCACTAAAAATTAAAACAAAAATGAAACAAACAAATTTGCTTTCTTAAGTAAATATCGAACAGTAGCTGCAGGGAAGATAATGCAATTAGTAATTTATTTAGTAACTAACACTAACTGTTTATCACTAATTTTCTCATTAAGTAAAAGCGCTGATCGCTTAAATGTGTGAATGCTTAAATGAAAGTTTGAACCGAGAGGTTTTAACTTTACTCTCTCTCTCTTTCCCTCTTTGTATATTGGTTTGTTATGATTAGATCAACCATAAGATGTTACACGTTGAAAACCCCAACTCATTAGTCTGAAAATAAAAATCTTTGATTGGCGAAGTAAGATATATAAGGTGCAGCAGATGAAATTTTTCTGTGCAATATTTTTAATCTAATAAAAACAGTACTTTTAACTTTATAAAAGTGGAGCAGAATTACAAATATTCTTTTCTAAATTAAATAGTTATAAATACATGCGATAAAAATACATACAATTAACCCAAATTTCGTTATAAACCCTTCTTAAACTCCCGCTTTAGATTTTCAAAACGACAATTTATTTCCCGTTAGCCAAAATGAAAATAAAGTATTGTAATTTTGCTTATAAGGAGGATTTCGCCAGATCATATTGTGTACTAACTTAGGAATCTTCATACCCAAGCTCTCGCTGATTTTATGTATTCGCAGTAGGGTTCCTGCTCTGCGTCCATCGCTTATATTTTATTCCGGGACGGGAACGACAAGATACTGCTGAAGTTTAATCTAGCCGAAGCTTTAACAAAGTCTGACTTATTAAGGATAGTCAGACTTTGTAAATCGTGATTTTGGGGGTGGAACCCACCTTTCTAATTTTTAAAGAGAAAATCTTGTAGGTTGTATAAACAAAATCAATAAAAACCTATATGCGTAAATTGAAACTAAGAAAAAGCTTTCAGAAAGTTGTCCACTTACCATATTTCCAACTGTCAGTCCACAGGGTAGGTCGAGCCATGTGTCAACGTTTGATGAGTCCGACATTTCTACATACTGAATGTTCTGCCGTAGCACGTAAAATGTTTCACTTGGTCCCGTGTCAACAACTAGACTTTTCACGCTGTAGTCACTACAAACATTGCACAGCCCAGAAGTTTTATTGTAGCTGAAGGCCACACAATTTCCTTCACTAATACAGGTTATGGAGCATTCAAGTTTAGATCTTCTCATGACAGAAATTGACGTCCTATCGCTACAGCCAACGTACTTGACTTGTAGATGAGCAAACAGGGAAGGTGTCCCTTGTGTATTACTGCATAATTGTCCGCGGCAAATATAATTTATATTACACCACATTAGCAACAAATACAGAAAGCACATTTTGTTTAAGTTTAAGTGAGAATTTTGTAAATCTTTCATTGATTTTTATAGACACCGTTATGTAATGGTCAGTTTCTTATAAATTATGAGCTTAGATTTTTCAGCACTTTAAAAACAAATTATAACATAAATATTTATCAACATCCTTGATAAAGATCCTAATATAAATTGCACATTATATGTATTGAAATCTACTCAAAGCTGCAATAATTGTTCCAAGTGACAGTTTTTACACGTAGAATGTACACAGAACAAGATATCTGAGTCTAGTAGGATTGAGCATGATAAATATTCAACTACTTGTGTGAACCATTAGTTTCAAAAATCGATGTTGCATGTTACGACTTGTTTTGATACAATTGTAACACGATCCAAGGCACACCACAAAAGAGACAAAAACCCATACCAACCGCTCAACACCCCATAAACACCCCACGCCTGAACCACAACACCCCAACTCACCCTACTATTTGAATCACGCTATCACACAACCCACCTCCAACAAACAGGACAACACATACTACATAATAACCTATTTTAATTAATTTTTAATGACTCTGATAGCATCTTAAAGTTTAAAAAGAAAACAAAATTCTTGCGATGTCACCGAAGAAGAATATATAAATACTTTTTGATATAGTGTCCTTACAAAAATGTTTTACTGCTTTTTTTTCTTAACGTTTCTGTTTTAACGTAGTAAACATGGTAAGGGGTGGAAGCAGGCGTTGTAACTGAAATAGCAATATAAACATAAAGTGATATTTCAACGCCAAGGGTAGACAAAGGTACAGAATATAGTCCAAGTAAAGACAGAACAGACAGACCCGACGGGTTCCGAACCTACCATTCCACACGGCACCGAATCGCCTCGCCTTCCATGCCTCAAGTCAGATTCTACCAATCAGCTCTACAAAAAATAGAGCTTTCTTGGCAGACCACTATCATAGCATGTGACACGGAAGACGCGGGCTGGCGTGACCTCTGAACCCTAAAGGGTCTGACCGCTAGCCTCATAAACACAACAAGGACTATTATTCGACCAGGCGAGGCGATTCGGTGCCATGTGGAATGGTAGGTTCGGAACCCGTCGGGTCTGTCTGTTCTGTCTTTACTTGGACTATATTCTGTACCTTTGTCTACCCTTGGCGTTGAAATATCACTTTATGTTTATATTGCTGTTTTAACGTAGAAATAGCACTCATTGAGGGATGGTGAAAGAAAGTGAGAGACAGATGGAAAGAGAAAGAGAGAGAGAGAGAGAGAGAGAGAGAGAGAACGTGTCACAGAAGGGAGAAGACAGAAATTTGGGCGATCGTATCAAGCCTACTGAAGTATACAAATAGAGCAATAATTTATAGCGGCACACAAAGTAAACATTAGTTATTAATTGAAGGGATTGAAGAGACAGACGTTGCTCAACTGTGAAAACCGCCACTTCAAAGCGTTGGTTTGCAGTAATTATCCAGCCGAGGAATACATCTTCGGTGGTTTAAACATATGTAGAATGGATGCTTTTAGAAACTTTCAAAGTAAACAAACATTAAGAAACTCACACAGAAAATTATACCTCGCACGCATTTATATTCATACTCACGCACACTCATACACATATCGTCACACACATGAACTTATACTCACACACTCAAACACTAACACTCACACACTTTCACTATCATACACACACTTATATACACATACTCTTACTGTAACTCACACATACACACTCCCACACAGACACATATCTCACACTCACAATCAAGTACCATTTAAATACACTCAAACACACACTCATATGCACAGACTCAAACACATAAATACAAGCACTCACATACGCTCACACACTCATACACATACATTCTTTCGCACACACATTCATTTAGAAACTCTCACACTGATACACGCACTCATAAAAACACACCATAAACACAATTTAATCCATTTGTTTATCTTACAAAGGTAGCATCCACCGAGTCAATGTTTTTTGTTAAGTTTCATTTAGGTTAATGTAGATTTTAACGTCTACTGCTTAAGATTTTATTCTTTGAAGATTGTTTATCAGAAGGAATCACATATAGTCTCCTTCTTCTTCTTAATCCCTACAGTGCCCAAGACACATGGGCTGATGAAGTAGAGCTCATCTGATTCATTGACCTTTGCATATGAAAGGATAGTGTGGTCAGCACTATGCCCAGCCGCCTTTGTACCCCTAACGTAAGTTAGGTACACATCAGAGCTGGGTTGACTCAGATGCGTTCCACTGATTTGAACCCGGGCTAGCATTCTAGCTCTCTACCGCTATGCCACGCCGTCCCCTATTGACATACAGTAGTAACCCAAATTCTGCTATTTTCGGAAACTAACATGTGGGTTTTAATCCGGCCAATGTACTAAATGCGCTGTCAGTGATGCTCTTCAGACTTTGGACAAATGAGCGGCAAATGCATATATTGCTTGTCCAAGGCTTGCGTTAGAAGCACTTCGTGCGTTAACTGTAACACACACACACACACAACCCCCCACACACATATACACACAAGCATAGTGTAGACCACACATTCCCTTCATATGCAGAGACCACAGGAACAGGTGGACTCTACTTCCCCTGCCCCGTTGACAAGTTCAAAACAGAAATTTACATTGAAGATAAGGAAATTAAAAAATAAATTGGTTTGTTATGATTTGATCAACCTCACGTTAGAAGCTTTGTGCTCGGCCGAGTAAGATATATAAGGTGCCGAAGATAAAATGGTATAGCTCTCTAGTTACGCTGGTATTGAAAAGTAGTTGACATGAACTTTAATATTTTACCCGTTACTGTTTGCAGAAGCGTAGTGCAGTATATTTCCACATTTCCAGTCAATGTTTATTGACTTGAGTACTATTTATACGCTTGCTCCGCGGAACTTGTAGTTCTTTGTTAAACATTAAATAAAGACCCACGTTTCTAATAATTGTGTCTTAATAATTAACAAACGCCCAAGGGTTATTTAGGCATATACATTTTTAATAACTGTTTCTGAGTCATTCTTTTTATCCGTCAATCAAGTAGATCTATTTCTATACCAGATTTCAAATTTTTAGTCAACGAAATGAAGATTGACATTCGATAACTTCCTTAAGAAAGCCAGACCGTTTGGTACCAAAAAAATCAAATTAACTTGAATCATAGTATTTAAAAAAAATAAAACAATAGAGCATTTCGTTTAATTTTTACCTTGCTCTGTTGTTTAATATTCCCGTTGAATAAAAATTACCCCGAATTGGTAATTTGTACAGAAGTGTAAGAATATTCAAATGTAGACCTACATGTTTTTTAAGGAGTTTAAAAGACACACGATTTTTAATTAAAATACTCAAGTTTTGAGGGTATTCATTTCGGTTCTTGACAAGAATAAACACAAGCCTCTAGAATTAAGAAATAGTTTTAATCTCCATTCTTCTAAGTAACGATGTATGTAAAACACCTCTATTCTATTCCCGTCCCGGCCATTGGGGGGTTTTTGTCCAGGGGGTTTATGTCGGGGGGTTTTTGTCCAGGGGGTTTAAGTCGCAGGGGGTTTATGTCCAGGGGGCTTATGTCGGGGGTTTTTGTCCAGGGGGTTTTGACCGGACACCTCCCATACCAACTCTTGACAGCCACACCCATTCAATACCACACCTCCTCTTGACTCCGGCTCACAACACACACGAGTTCACTCGACCAGTATATTTGCTTGTTACGAACCCGGGCTCGATAACAATACATTAGAAAACGTACACACACGCGCAGACGCAGACATACAAGCACACACACTCACACACAGATACACACGCACACACACCCATATATATATATATATATATATATATATATATATATATATATATATATATATATATATATATATATATATAAATCAAAAGGTTAAAACAGAAAAGAAATGTTGTGCTTGATACTGTGGGCCACTATATTCATTGACTCCATTGAATTAGGCACGTCCGGCCCCTATTCGATTACTTTGAGTATAATACGCCCGAACAAAAGAAGAACATTCGTGGAATATTATTGCTTTAAATATTACATACCGATGCTTATCATAATCTATATATAAATGTAATAATATATGTAAGGTAATGTTAAAGTTGGTTTATGAATAAGGATACATATGGGTAGGTTTGTCAAAGGGAATAAGCTAATTATATACTTTGAAAGTTATACTATATTAGATTGTATAGAATTCCTAAGTAAGATACATTGCACAATACAACAAGCTATGGCATATTACTTCGGCCAATTTCTATTATTCCGTCTTTCTTACTTGGCCGGCAACAAGCAATGTGATTTCTTGGAAGGGTATAATTAACTTGGCAGAAACTGACGTGAGATAATTTGCCATGAGAGGTAATGTCATACATCCGAGTATTTTAAAAAGATATGTGCAGAGCCGTAGCGACCCTTTCCTGCGCCCGGGGACAAACTTTCGATTTGCAACCCCCCCCCTTAAAACTTTCGATTTGTACCCCCTCAAGGTTTCCATTTGCACCCCCATCAAGCTTTAGATTTGCACCCCTCCCCCCTTCAAGCTTTCGATTTAAACCCCCCCTTAAAACTTTCAATTTCCATCCCCTCAACCTTTCAATTTGTTTTTCCGACCCATTTTGGCGCCCCCTAACGTCGGCGCCCGGCGACATATGCCCCCCCCACCCCCCCCCCCCCCCCCTCGCAACGCCTCTGGATATGTGTTCGTTTGTTAAAATATCAGTAGCACATCTATTAACTACACTAAAGAAAAATTTAAGACATCTGATATAGGCCTAAGCATAATTATTGTTAAATAGTCATGTCATGTTTGCCTGTCGTCCCTACTGGG